TCAGAGGTAAATGACAGCATCACATTGCAGAGATGGTGTGTGAGTCTATCCTATCTGATCCCAGTGTGAATTAGTAGGTATTTGGGAACTAAAGCTACTTTTGGGGAAGTTAAGGGTAAAAGGCCATCTCCTTCACTGACTATGAAGTATCTAGAGGCTCAGGAAAGCATTAGGTAATGTTCTCAATGTTAGCTTAGGAAGTGAAGAGCAAAGACTAGCACAGTGTTAACAAGAGGTTGAATGGGTGCTCTCAAAGAAGCAATTTTCTGTCACAGCTACCCCCATCTGTCTGCAGACTCCAATAGACAGCTCTTTTGTCTGTTCTCAGTGACAAGATGAAGTACTGAGCACAGATCCCAAATCCTGCAGAGCACAGAGTACAACTCCTGAACAATCGCCATTGCTATTGTTTGGTGGGTGCATGGGCCTGGTCTCTCATCTGGTTGCATGTCGAGGGGGTCTGCTGACACACTGTGCCTAGAGAGAGGGGCACTGTAGTACTTTTTCTCTACTCCTCCTGTACTCAACACATGTGAGTGTATATGTGGTGGGGAAGGGATATAAGGTGAAACAGGGCTAGAGTTAACAAGCCAGAAAAAGATGCTTCTACTTGAACAGAAGGGCTAGAATTCTTTTTCAGACACTGAATTCACCAGGAAATTTCAACCACATGCTTTCAGAGATGCTGTGTAGGTGTGGCCAACGTCAGGAGGCAGTGTACCCAGTGTGCCCTTCCCTGTGGTCACTAGCGATTGGAATTCCTCAGTAATCTAGCTGGGAAACCGACCTTTGGAAGCCTTTTCCTTATTTCTCCTTCACACAGCAAAGGGCTATGCAAATATCCTTTTACAAATTAAGGGTTGAATAACCATCCCTGTGTTTCTTAAGTTACTACATTGCTTTTATTTTGGAAAGTTGAACCCAAGTTATTTGACTTAAAACATCCCTCCAACAGTTGAGAAACAGTACAACCAGTGGTATCCAGATTGCAAAGGAAGATGTAATATTAAATATTCATGTGTCACTTAACAACAGAGAAACATCCCGAGAATGGCATTCTTAGATGATTTTGTCATTGTGCAAATATCAAAGACTGTACTTACACAAACCTAGATAGTTTAGTTTATCACACACCTAGGATATATAATATAGCCTAATAATCTTAGGTTACAAGTTTGTGTAGCATGTTACTAAAATAAATACTACAGGCAATTAGGACACAATGGTAAATATTTCTGTACCTAAACATACATATACACAAAAAGGTGCAGTAAAGTTATCATCTTATAATATAATGGGGCCACCATTGTCTATGTAGCCCTGTTGTTGACTGAAGTGTTATGTGGAAGACAGTATTTGCAAGACCTGATTTTGCATATAGCAAATATTAGGAAACACATACTTTGCACATCTATCAAAGCTAATAAATCAACTCTGAAATGTTGAAGTAAATAATATCAACATATAAAAGCAAGTTGTATTTCCATACATTATTAATGAATAATTGAAAAGTGAAACAAAGAAAGCAATAAATATCATTAAAGATAATAAAATAGATAAAAACAAATCTAATCAAATAAATACAAGATTTTTACAAGAAAACTACAAAATAGATTGGGAGTGGTGGCTCCTGCCTGTAATCCCAGCACTTTGGGAGGCTGAGGTGGGTAGATTACCAGGTCAGGAATTCAAGACCTGCCTGACAGAGATGATGAAATCTCGTCTATACTAAAAAACCAAAAATTATCCAGGCCTGGTTGTGGGTGCCTGCAATTCCTGCTACTCAGGAGGCTTAGGCAGAGAATTACTTAAACCTAGGAGGCAGACTTTGCAGTGAGATTAAATCATGCCACTGCGTGGCAGTCTGGGTTACAGAGCAAGACCCTGTCTCAAAAAAAAAAAACAAACAAACAAACAAACAAACAAAAAAACCAACTGTAAAGAAAGAAAACTATAAAATAATGTTGGAAGATATTTAAAAATATAAAAAAATAAATAAAAATTTTTTAAAAAGGAAAAAGCATCTGTGGATTGGAAAATTCAATAACATTAGAATGCTAATACTCCCCAAACTAATCTACAATTTCAGTGTGACCTATGTCAATATTGCGAACAGCTTTTGTTTGTCTTATTTTCCCAGAAATAAACGAATAACATGAAAATTCATATAAAGTTTTAAGAAACCAAGAAAGCAAAATCATTTTAGAAAATAAAGCTGGAGGACTTATACTACCCAATTTCCAAAATGGCTACAAAATGACAATAAGAAAAACAGGGTGGCACTGGTGTAAGTACAGGCAGGTAGATGAATAGTGTAAAATTCAGAGTCTAGAGATGAGCACTCACATCTATGATGAGCTGACTTTCAACAAAGGTTAGAAAATCGTTCAATGATTCAATGCAGGAAAGAACAGTTTTAACCAAATGGTGTTAGGATAATAAATATCAACAACTAATGAATAAAGTTGGATCCTGCCAAATTAATTTAAAATGGTTCAAAGTTATAAATGTAAGAACTAAACTTAGGAAACTTGTAGAAGAATAAATAGTGCTAAATCATCATGTACTAGGATCAGGCAATGGCTTCTAACATATGGCATCAAAAGTACAAGTGCAGAATAAAAACTGGATTCATGGAATTAAAAACTTTTATGAGGCAATGGATACCATGAAGAAAGTAAAAAGGAAGGTCAGAGAATGAAAGAAAGTATTTTCAAACCATATCTAACAAGGGACTTATATTACAATGCATAAGGAAATCTTAAATGTCAATAGAAAAAGACCAATAACTTGAATTTTATAAAGGCAAGGTATTAGAATAGGCATTTTCCCAAAGGAGATATATAAATGATGAATTAGCACACAAAAGGATGCTTAATGTCATTAAGCATCAAGGAAATGCATATCAAAACTACAATAAATATACAATTATGATTTTGTCAATTAAAATAATGATTATAAAGTGTAAAGCTACAACAAGATAGATTCATTAAAATGGCTCATCCAAAAGATGGATTAAAAAAATATGATAAAGATGTTGTGAAGTTAGAATCTGTATATGTTGCTGGTAGGAATATAAAATTGTGGAGCTGCTGTGGAAAACATTTGTCAGTTCTTCAAGTAAGTTAAACATCAAATTATTACACGATCCAGCAGTTCCAAACAATTCAAAATAAGTACTCAAACAAATATTTGCATATGAATGTTCAAAGCATTATTATTCAAAATGGCCAACAAGTAGACACAACTCAAATGTTTACTGATGGACAAGCAAACAAAATGTAAATCCAATCAATGGAATATTATAGCTGTAAGAGAAATGAAGTCCAGTTGTCTCTGGTATCCAAGGAAATTGGTTCCAGGTACCCCCATTTCTAAGATACCAAAATACATGGTTAATCATCTTCATGATATAAAATATGAAGCCTGAATAACATGGCAGACACCTGTCTACCAAAAAAAGGTACAAAATTAGCTTGCCATGATGGCTAGCTAGTAGTCCAAGCATATATGCTGAGGTGGAAGAATTGCTTAAGTCTCAGAAAGAGAGGTGGCTGTGAGCGGAGATTGTATCATCACCAGCACTGTAACATCTATCATTCAGCATAGACAAAAGGGTCAGACCCTGTCCTTCCCTTCCCCCACAAAAAGGTGTAGTATTTGCATTTAACCTATGCACCTTCTTCTGTATATTTTAAATCATATATATATATTACTTTCTCTATCTAATACAATGAAAATACTATGCAAATAGTTACATTTTTAGGGAATAAGGACAAGAAAAAATGTCTGTACATGTTCGGCACAGATACAACCATTTATTTCTTTTTTCCTGAATATTTTTTTATCTGTGGTTGGCTGGTTCTATAGATGTCTAAGGATTCAGAAGCCCTGATATGCTACAACTTTGGAAACAAAACTGTTATGATAAGAAAAGAAGTTAGACACAAAGGCCACTCTCATCAGTATTACATTCACATGAACTGTATAAAAAAGACACATTTATGTATAAAGAAGATCAGCAGTTGCCAATGTGTGGGTGGAAAGGAGAATAGGAATTGATTTCTAATGATTATCTTTATGATGGGAATTATATAGTAATGCTAGTTAAACCACCTAATGATATGGTAAAAATTAGTGAATTGTGCATTTTAAAACGGGGCATTGCATGGTGTGTGAATTATCCTGATACCCTAAGTTTTGATGACTGAAAGTGTAATTGCATCAAAAAGAAATAGGTGATTTTTTTCAGGGAATTCTCCCTAGCCTCCACTGCTAACTGTTCATATCAAGGAAAATAAATGGATTTAACAAACGTATAAACGTAAGTAAGAAAGAACAGCAGAGAAAGGGGAGTCCATTTAACGAGTACTTGGTGCAAAATAGCTGCAGAGATTGCTTGAAGCCTGGGTGAGGAGTCAGCGGGAAACAGTACGTTGTACCCTTTACAGTGGTGTGGCTGGAGTCTGGTTCGGCATCAAAGCCTAAAAGCATATTCTGAAAGCCCTTTAAAGCCCCGTACTTTTTATACCTACATCACTGATGGCTAGGAACAGCAGGTGACGTCCTCATAGGATGAAGAAACAACAGACAACTTTATTTGTACTGCCACCTGTTGTTGATTTAGTACACTCTGTTAACAAAAGAATATGGTTTAGAATAAAAATCTGCCCTTTCCCAGCACGGTAATGAGTATCTTACTAAATGGGAACACCTCCCTGGGAACTACAAATCCCAGTTGGCTGCACTCAGAATAAATACTCTCTTTCCGGGAATGCTGCATTATACTCCAATCCTGAGCAGGTCTAGAGAGCTGTAGCTGCGCAGCCTGCTGGTACTTGTAGTTCTTTTTTTTTAAACAGGCGTAGGCTCTGGTAGCCACTTCGCACTCTTCAGCTCAGGATTTAATGTTCCCCATCCTAAGGCGCTCCCCAAGAGATGGTGGGAGGGTTGGCAAGAGTGGATGGTGGAGGTCATCCTCCTCCGGTCACGTGGGACACTTGGCATGCAGCGATTGGTCGCCAGAGTTTTAGGGTAAGGCATTAGACCCACGAGCTTCCGTGATGCTACTCTGCGGGGCTTGCTGCTGAAGTCACTTCGCCGTGAAGTAGGGGAAAGAGGTAACACCGGGTAGAGGGAGCGGCGTTGGCCCAACATGATTGATGCCAAACAGGGCAGAAATCAACTCAGCTCTGGGGTGGGTTCCTGTCGAGAGGGGTAGAGAATGGCAGAGGATGCACCCCGGTCTCATCGGGAAGCTATGCAGCCCCAGGGACGCGCTTGATATGAAAAGCCATGTGTGCCCGGCACCGCGGGGCCCCACGCACTAGGTGTTTCCTCTCACGTCCCCGCCGTCAACGTACTCCCGATTTTGGTCACCGCCGTCTAGGGCTTACCTGGGACACAGTCTAGTTCTCTTACAAGCTAGTGAGCAGGACTTGTTGGAGTGCGCTACGCCAGTGCAGGTGAAGCTGTTACGCAGTATGAAAACCCGGCTTTGTAGCTGGGGGTGCGCTTTGCATCCTCTGCTTGTGGTCTCCGTTCCCTCTCAGCGACAGGGCCTGATGATACGCGGCAGCAGCCAGTCGGTCAGACCTTTTGGTCTCTAGAGGTTCAGTTCTTGGCGCCAACTGCACGCTTATATGTCCAGCCAAGGATTACACGTGATTCCAGAGGACCTCTATCTAAATTGGGGACTATTATCTTATGACAACTTTTATTGCAAAATATTTTTTTTCCTCTCTATTTCTCCCTTCTTTCTTTATCTTTCTCTGTCCTTGTGCACCCCAAAGCAGAAACTTAAGTGCACGGTCTTTGATCTCAAAAAGCAGGAAAAGATTCAATTTTTTTAGCAAATGTATGCTTACTTAACATTTAGAGTACGTTTACACTTGAGCAAAATTCGGTTTTGAAGACTTGCGTAGGGTCTTTTTTTTTTTTTTTTTTTTTTTTGGTTTGTGCATGAAGATTTCAGTTTCTTTCTCTCTCTGTTTCTCCCTCGTCTCCTTGAATTCTAACAGAAAGGTCCAGTGCTCGAAGAATTCGGAAAGAATCTCTTGCCTGAACTTAACTGTAGGGATTCAGCATTGTCACTTTGGTCACGTCACTTATCTTCAGTATTTGCTTCCCCCAAGAGACAATTGTAGTAAAAAAGCATTGCAATTTAGTAAGTTCAGTAAGTTCCTGTTTATGCGCCTTGGAATGAGAACAAAAGTTCTTGAAATAGAAACAAAGGTTTAATCAAGTAGCATTTTTGATGACCCAGTTAAAAGCAGTTGATGACCCTTTGAAGAGCAGAGCTCTAGTTAAGTGAAAAATCAGAAAAAAACAGAAAAAATCTGTTTCTGTCTTACTTTTCTATACTTAACTCATATTTCTTTCTTCTTTGCTCATGTTTCTGGCCATATTTTTACTTGGAGTTTCTTTCTATTGTTATTCAATTAACTGAGATGGAATTGAAATACATTGCTAAATGGTTTTTTAAATTTTTATTTTTTTGAATTGCTGAATATTTTCTATCTGCAAATTTATTTTTAGGTTGCCTCTTTATTTTTTCTTCCCTGTATGTCACTGACTGGGAAATAAAAATTTCTTAATTTTAACTGTACCTCTGCCTTTCTTTTCCAGGAAGCAGAAATAACATTTGCATTGTTTTAAAAATCTTAAATGAATTAAAGGAAAAATGACTCTGCCATTCTTTGGTTAGTTATGACACTTAAGTCAGAAACAAGAGGATATAAGCATTTTTATGTTTTGTTATTCTAGTGCTGACTTTTTGTCCCTTCAGCTTTGTCTGTTTTTGCTTAATATGTTTTGAGTTTAAGTTCATATAAATTAATATTTGTTGTATCTACTTGATAGTGCCCTTTGTCTCTTTAAAAATATATTGTCTTAAAGTTTACTTTCTGTAATATTAGCATAACTATCTTCGTTCTCTTTTGCTTATTATTTTGATGGAATATATTTTTCTTACACTCACAATCAACTATGTAATAGTTTGAATTTGTTTATTCTTTATGATAAACTAGTTTGAATCTTAGATTCAGTAGTGTACAGAAACTTTGCTCCTTTAAAGCTCTGCATTGTGCCTTCTGATTGTCACGTTATATCTTTATATACTTTGTATCAATATCATAGGTTATTGTTTTATAAATTTATTTTATGAAATTATTGTTTTATAAATTTATCTTTTAAATCGGAAAACTTAAAATCCTCAAATTTAATATTGGCTTCTGTATTTACCTACTTAGTTATCTTTGTCACTGTTCTTTATTTCTCTATATAGGTTTGAATTATTGTCTGGGGTCCTTTTATTTCTGAATACAGGGCCCTCTTTTTCATTTTTTTCTGTAGGGCATATTTGTGAGTGGTATGCTCTCTCAGCTTTTGTGTATCTGGAAATATTTTAGTTTCTTCTTTATTTTAAAGGATAATCTGAGGTTTTCCTACTTAACAGATCCTTTAGCTTCTTGGATGTGTAAATTAATAATTTTCATCAAACATAAAGTTGTTTGTGGCTACTCTGTAGATATCCTTTCCCACCCTTTGTCTCCTCTTCCTGTTGTGTGTAGTAGGCATACCTGTGTTTACTGGAGAGTATCAAAGGTCTTTTAAGCTCTGTTGATTTTTTATTTATCTTTTGTTTTCTGTTCCTTAGACTCTATAGTTTCAGTTGACTTAGCTTCCAGTTTGTTTATTCTTCTGCCTGCTCAAGTCTGCTGTTGAGAATTTCTAGTAAAATTTTTATTTAGTTGCACTTTTCAGCTTCAGAATTTCATTTGGTTGCTATGTTATTATTTTGTTCATTTACTGTATTCTTGATTTTCTTTAGCTCATTGTTCACGGTTTCCCCTGTAGCTCTCTTCATATATTTATGGTGGTTTATAAAACCATTAATAAGTCTAAAAGCTGCGATTCCTCCAGGATATTTTATCTTATTTTTTTTTAATTTCTGTGAATGCCCATAAATTTTTAGGTTTATTTTTTCTTTTCTTTCTTTTTTTAATGACTTGTTTTAATTTTTTTTTTTTTAACTGAAGACTTTGAATATTACCATATGGTAACTGTCAAATAAAACAAATTCAGATTTAGACATTAAGATTATTGCAGTAGAGAAAACCATAAATTCAGGAGGCTTACACATCTTAAAATCAAACAAATATTTTTCTTTCATACGGAGGTATAAGCAGGATTAGTAGAAACTTATGGACAAATTGAACAAGCAAAAGGGGTGAACAGAGAGCAGGAAGTGTATCTCACATAGTAAACCAGGGTGCCTGTGGTCTGTTTTAGTGCATGTCCAGGGTCAAGATAAAATGTGGGGTCTGTAGATGAGAGAAAAGCCTAACTAATGTTAGGTCAAAAGAAGGCATAGATACTCTTTGGCCTTGTCTTGAAGTGGGGAATACTTTGTCCTAACACTGGCAATCAGATTCTGTCTACTCACCAGCATTTGTGGTTGCTGCTTGTTGTGGTTTTGTTCGTGAATTTTGGGATTTGCTTAGACCAAACTATTTTTTTGAAGACTGTTGTGTGAAGTCTCTACATTAGCTTGTGGTCAGCCAGTGAGTTAAATTTTATGAAAAGCCTGTAGCAAACAAGAACAGCAATTTACTCTTCGTAGATTGGCTGCAGATTTTGCTTAGCTGGGCAATTTAAAGCCTAAGTTGTACAGTTGGCCCTCTGTGTAAGTTTCACATTTGTGGGATCAACAAACTGGATTTAAAATATTTGAAAAAATAAAAATAAATGGTTGCATTTGCACTGAACATGTAGACTTTTTTCTTGACATTTCCCTTAAATGATACAGCATCACAACTCTTTAAGTAGTATTTACATTGTATTAGTTATACAGGGTATTCTAGAGTTAAAGTATATGGAAGGATGTATGTAAGTTATGTTCAAACACTATACCATTTTATATAAGGAGCTTGAGAATCCTTATAGTTTGGTATTTGCTGGTGGTATGGGATGGGAGTCTTCCTGGAACCAAGGAGTTCCCCATAGGATGATGGTGCCTTGTATGCATCCTGACAGTCAGCCAGAGGAGAAAGTGTTGAGTTTTCTGAGTGTGCATCCTTCTCTGGACACGCATATATCTTTGTAGGTCCCATGGTGTTTGTCTGTTCTTTAAAAACTCTAACTTTTTTGTGTATCTCTTTCCCAGCCTCTTATTTCCCCACCAGCCTGTTTTGCCTACTTACTACTTTTTTTGTTTACTCCATACTTCTAGTGGCGGTAGCTTCAACAAACAACACCAGCAGGTCACAGCAGTCCTGAGAAGGTACTGTGGACTTCTCCTCAAGAAACACCAGACAAGTTAATTCCACCAGCACACTCTTTAAAAGCCAGGTTTATATTCCCCACTCCGTCACCAGCAGTTCACACCAGGACCGCTAGCTGCTTTCCTAATGGTTATCCTCAAGGTGGAGATTAAGGATGGTAGGCAGATAAATTAAAATGCCGCAGATCTCTTTTTGAAATGTAGTATTCTTCTTTTTTGTGTCAAGTAATCTCCTGGTTATTGTAATTTCTGATTAGATTCCAGAGTTTTGAAGTAGTGTATTTGGAAAATTTTTGCTTATATAAAGTAAGTTTTAACCTATTGTCCAAATTACATCTTTTGTCTCTTTTCTCCGTCTCTTCCCAGTTCTTTTTTATTTGATCTTAATATGATTACAAAGTAACTTTTAGACAATATACTATCTATAACATCATTAAGACATAAAAAGTATTATAGAAATTTAATATGCTATTCAAAGCAGTGCATGTGAACAATATTAAAATTTTACCAGGTAGTATATTCAAAAGAAAAAAAATATGTTCATTGATATTAATATCCACTGAGACCCTGGGATTATTCTTTTATTATTCAACCCATTTTCTAGTTGAATTTATGCAGGCACTTAAAACTGTGTTAAGTTTTGTGAGTTGATGAGAAAGACATAAAATATCTAGTGTTGTTTCTCTGTGCTACCAAGATAATTTTATTAATCTTTATTGCCTTGGATTTTTATTTGAATGTAACAATAACAAAATGTCTTTCAGCAATCTTTACTTTAGTATACTTCTCCCCTTTTAATAAATCATGATAATATTTGCTTACTAAGATGATACATTT